CACATTTCCATATTAATTTTAGAATCATCTTTATTAGAATTATTTATCTACAGTATGTTTATTGGGATTTTTATTAGAATTATGTTGAATCCATAGATCAATTTTGGAAGAATTGTTGATGAACATATTGAGCCTTTTGATCCATAACACAGAATCCCTCTCCATTTATTTCAGTCTTTAGAATTTTCTCTCAGTAGTGTTTTATAAATTTTCAGTATATAAATATTGCATACTCTTTGTTATATTTATACCTAATATTTCATATTTTAATACTATTATAAATGTTTTTTAAATTTTCAGTTTCCTATTACTCTTTACTAATATATAGAAGCAAAATTTACTTTTGTACATTGCTGTTATATTTTCTAGTTTTGCTAAACTCACGTATTAAGATAGGGTTTGTTTTTGTAGATGCAATAGGATTTTGTACATAGATTATCATGTTGTCTGTGAATAAAGAGAATTTTACTTCTTCATTTCCAATTTGAATGTCTGTTGTTCCTTTTTCTTGCCTTATTGCAGTGGCTAGAATTTCTGGTATAATGTTGAATAGAAGTATGAAAACACTGATTCTGGTTTTGTTCTTGATCTTAGGAGGAAAGCATTCAACCTTTCAATAATGCGATCTTACTTTGTAGTTGCCTATTATCAGGTTGAAAATGTTCTCTTCTATTCCTAATTTGCTGACATTTCTTATGAAGAGTGGATATTGGATTTTGACAAATGTCTGTTCTGAATCTATTAATCTGATGATACATTTTTACTCTTTTTCAGTCGGTTAATATGGTAAAGTACATTAATTTTAGATTGTAAACCAATCTTGCATTCCTAAGTTAACTCCACATGGTTATTATGCATTATAATTTTTATATATTTCTTGGATTAGATTTGCTAAAATTGGTTAAAACTTTTTACATTTGTGTTTATGATTTATCCACATGACAGTCCAGTTGTTTCAGTACTGATTGTTTTCTTTCCTCATTAGCTTGCTTTCACATATTTATTGAGTATTAATTGACTATATCTATCTATCTATCTATCTATCTATCTATCTATCTATCTATCTATCTATAAAACCATATATGTATGTGTGTGTATGTGTATTCTGATATTTACATCATGTATTTTTTTTATTTCAACTACTACATTTCTCATACTTGATATATTTGTTTTTTCCCTTGGTTCTTTGTCCATGTTACTAATATCTTCCTCTTTCTTTATTTCTTTAACAATTTTTCTTTATTGATTTGAGAGAGAAGAAGAAGGGAGAGGAAGAGAGATGGAGGCATCAATAAAAGAGAACATCGATTGGCCGCCACCTGCATGCCCCCCACTAGGGTTTGGGCCCACGACCTGGGCATGTGTCCTGACCAGGATTCAAACTGGCGACCTCTTGGCGCATGGATCGATGCTCAACCACTGAGCCACACCAGCCAGGCTTCCTCTTTCTTTTAATATGTTTAATAGTGTAATTAATTTTATTTATTCTAATATATCTGTTACTGTTGGATTCTGTAATTAGTGTATGGTTTTTAAAATTTTTATATATGACTGGCTTTTTCAAATGTCTTGTGATCTTAGCCTGTTTACACAATTTTTTCTCTTGGAGATATAAGATAGTATGTCAAACAATGCTTTGGGGGTAACCATGGTGTCAGCTACATTAAATTCAGAGAATAGGGGACTGAAGAGTCCCAAGATGGGCCAGACACCATAAAATTGCAGTCACTCTTTGTTTCACGTAAGACCTGCTTTGTCAATTTTTTGCTTGTAGCCCCACTATGTTCAGCAGAATTAGAAGGCACTTCTTAACAGCCTTGGCTGCACATTGGAATCAAATGAGGAGCTTTAAAAAATAATGATTCCTTATTCCTGTCCCAAGGTTTTTATTAATCTGGTTTAGTTGTTCAGCCTGTATTTAGGAATTTGTTTTACTTCTTAAATTTAAAATAATTATAGATTCACAGGAAGTTACAGAAATATAGAAAGAGGTTTCATATACCCTTCTTCCAGTTTCCTCCAATTAAATTTTGCATAACTATAGTACAATAACAAAAGCAGTAAATTGACATTGGTACATTATGTGTATATAGTATTATGTTATTTTATCACATGTATAGGTCATGTAATCACTGCCACATTTAAGATACAGAATTATTTTACCGACACAAAGATATTTCTTGTTCTACACCTTTATAGTCATACTTTTTCTTCCTTCTCCCAACCATCCCTGACTTCTGGCACTCACTAATCTGTTTCTCAACTCTACAATTTTGTTATTTCAAGAACGTCATGTAAATGGAATCACATAGCTGTGACTTTTGAGATACACGTTTTCACACAGTGGTTCTCAACCTGTGGGTCGCGACCCCTTTGAGGGTCGGACGACGCTTTCACAGGGATCACCTAAGACATAACAGTAGCAAAATTACAGTTATGAAGTAGCAATGAAAATAATTATATGGTTGGTGGTCAACACAGCATGAGGAACTGTATTAAAGGGTCATGGCACCAGGAAGGTGAGCACCACTGAATCCATCCAAGTTGTTGCAGGTATCAATAATTTCTGCTTTTTATTATTGCTGAGCAGTATTCTATGGTATAAATGTACCACAGTTTTTATTGTTTCCAGTTTTTGGCTATTACAAATAAGGTAGACCTTATTTATGAATTTAATGTAATTATTGGTATGACAGAGCTCAAATCTTCTATGTTATTTATTTATTTCTGGTTTTCCACCTTTGTTTTTATTATCTTTGTTTTCTGTTTTTGCCTTTCTGGGATTACTTGAACATTTTTTACAATTCTATTTGATTTATCTGTAATATATTTGAGTATCTCTATAGATGTTTTCAGTGGTTATTCTAGGTATTACATTATACATACAGAACTTTTCACTGTCTATTGGTATCACATTTTATCAGTTTAAGTGTAGATATAGTATCTTCCTTTAAAACTTTCTACCCTCCCTCATTGTCCCAATAGATACATATTTGATATTCTGCTCAGGACTTAAATTCCCTTAATGTTAGTGTTCAGGTTTTTCATTGATGCTTGTTTAGTTTAAGATTTTATATTTTATGTTAGCTATTATTTCTTTGAATATTGTGTTTGCTCTCTCCTTCTCGAATTTTGATTAGGTGAATATTGGGCCTTCTCATTATGTTCTTTATGTCCTTTAACCTCTCTCTCTCTTGTTTTTCTGTGCTCTATTATAGATAATTTCCACAGATTTGCTTTTTTCCACTTACCAATTGTCTCTTCTGCTGTGTCTGTTGTGTTCTTAAATTTGTCTCTTTATTTTAAAAATTATTTCAATTATTTTAGTTTAATATTTTGAAGTTCTCTTTTATTCTTTTAAAGCTGAGGGTTCTTTTTTCTTTTTATTGTGTATTCTATTATTTCATGTCTTACTATTTAAACACAGTTATTCTTTTTTAAAAATCCTTACTTAAGGGCATATTCATTGATATTTAGAGTGAGGGGAAGGGGAGAGAGAGGGAGAGGGAGAGAGAGAGAGAGAAACATCCAGTGTGGGAGAGAAATGTTGATCGGTTGCCCCCTGTATACACCCCACTGGGGATTGAACCCATAACCTCAGTATATACCCTGACCAGAATTGAACCTACAACCTTTTGGTGCACAGGGCAACCCTCAAGCGACACTGGCCAGAGTAACACAACTATTCTTAAGTTTCTATTTGAAATACTCCAATCTGAAGATCTTGGGGATCTAATTTAGTTTGTGTGTCTTTTGACTTCCACTAAATTTTGGTTATTACTTAAAGGGTTTTTAAATTTTGAATTGTGAACTAATTTTCAATAAGATAAATTTAACCTTTATCTGAGGTTAAATTCTTTGCCTGGATTGAAGGTATGTCCCTCCAGAGAAGTTTTGTGTTTATTTCTAAGTGTTCTAGATTATATAACTATCCTAGATCCAGATTTTATTTTTATTTCTTATTTTGAGATTAAGAATTCCCAAGGAAGACTTTTAGTTATTATTATTACCTTGAGCCCAGCAGTGGTTTATTGACAAGCTGATATTGTCTTGTCTGATATTTTCACTTATGTTATAGTCCTCAGTGGCTTTATGTGGGGGGCCTGAGTTCTAAGACATGTGTTATAGACATCTCTATGGCCTCATCTTTTGTTTCTGAGTTAAGACACAAGACCCTAGACTTCTGAGACAGGCAAACCCCAACCATATCTAACAAAGCATTAGTTCATAGTCTTATTGATCTAATTTGATTCCCTTACAAATTCTTACAAATTTTATTATGCACTTAAAAGAATGCTTCTTTATATTTTAGGATGCTTCTTTATATTTCAGATTATCTACTTTCCATATGCCATAAATTATAGTCTGCTTACTTGTTATTGACTGTGAACTCTGTGAGGACAGGGCCATTGTCCAACTAGTTCACTACAGGTTCCTCAACACCTAGTGCCTGGTACATACTAATACTCAATAAATGTGGAATGAATAAAATGCTGTTCATTACAGATTTATTTGTAATAGTGAAAAACTGAAATGAACTTAAATATCTAATAATACAATACTGAAGTAAATGTTTATATTTACTTAAAAGTACATAGCTGCTGCACATATATTTTTCAGCCAGAAAATTATGATTTGGAGGATTGTATTTTAGACTGAAAATTATTAAAAATTAAGTGTAGGTGAAAAATATCAGGATTCAATTTTGAATGTATCGTATGGCAACTTTATAATATATAATGTATAACACTGAACATGAAAAAATATGAAAAAACACTGAATAGTGAACACCAAAATAGTGAACACCTACACATTTATGTTGGAGTGGTAGATTGAGGATCCCTTTTTACCCTTTATTCTGTAAACTTCCCATAATGTGGTTTTAGGAAAATACTAAGAAGAAAAATGTTTATTAGTATTCTTAAAAGTCTTTAGACTTAAATACACCAAGATAAAACATAAAAATTTCAGAATTAGTTTTATTATTATAATGTTTACAGACTTTTATATGAAAATACAGAAAAAGATCTTTCTGATACTCAGCGACACCTTGCTAAGAAAAAATATGAGCTACAGCTTACTCAGGAGAAAATTATGTGCTTGGATGAAAAAATTGGTGAGTTATTTTTCTCTTGATATTACACTTTCTTTAAGTCTGATAGAAAAATGTTTTCTTCTCTCAGTTATAACATAGATAAACTTAGAGATAGGCCCTTAAATTAAAAGTTTATAATTCAATCATGGAAAAATATGTTTTTCATTGATAGTAAACATTTTTTGTTTGTTTTTTTATCCTCACTCGAGGACATTTTTTCATTTTTTGTTCAGATAGAATAGGGAGGGAGAGATAGAATGGGAGGGAGAGAGAGGAAGAGAGAGAGAGAGAAACATCAACGTGAAAGGGACACATCGAGTGGCTGCCACCTGCACGACCAACCAGGGCTGGGGACAAACTGCAACCGAGGTACGTGCCCTTAGCGGGAATCGAACCCGGGTCTTTCTGGACCGCAGGCCGATGCTCTAACCGCTGAGCCAAACTGGCCAGGGTGATAGTGAACATTTTTAACTTAGATTTGGGACCATAAATATTTAGACATGGATTCAAATTTTTTGATGAAGAAACAGCTAAACAAAAGCAGCAATACTTCATAATTTATGATGGTCACTTTTAAATTTACAAGTTTTTGTGTGAAATTGTGGCATGTTCATAGCTGTTGTAATGAAACAGAATACACATTATATATTACTTTTGGTGGAAAGTGTACAGATATGTGCCTATATCAATGATATTACTTGGGTTATAAAGTCTTCTATTTATGTTTCTTACCAGTGATCTCTATGAGAATAGAATATGGTCATAATTTACTCTTTTTATAACTATAAAGTAAAATTTTTATTAGCACTATGACGGAGCCCATTTTAAGACAGAGGGAATATTTTTAACATTTGCTATAATGTAGTTCAAAACTGTCTGGCATAACCAATTGAGTGGGCGAAGGTGCTTTTTATTGAGATAGGAAATATTAAAGGATAAATATAAGGGAAATATTGAAGAACTAATTTTTGGATATTTTAAGTCCAAGTAAAAATGTAAGGTAAGCAGTTAAATAGATAAGTTTTTATATCAGGAGGGAAACCTAAGCTAAAAGTATACTTTTGGGACACATCAGCATATAAAGGATATTTTAAAACCATCAGATCACCTAGAGAAAATATAGAGAATGAGGAGAAGAGGGTCCAGGACTGAGTAAGAAGAAGCCAAAGAAGTAGGAACAAAACTTGTGAGTGTTATCTGGAGAGGCAAGAGAGCAAAATGTTTTTAAAAGGAGGGTAGCGTCAATTGTCAGATACTTTCGAGAAGCAAAAGAAGATGAGGATGAAACATGTTGATTGGATTTGGCACTTTGGAGGTTTGCTAATACTGACAAAATTTGGATAGAGTGTTGGATGTAGAAAATGGAATAGATTGAAGAATAACTGGGAAGTGAGGAAGTAGAGACAGGAGTGAATAGAAGTCTTAAGAAGTTTGGCTACTAAGAGTAGCAGAAAAATGGGGTGGTGGTTTGAGTGGAATGTGAGGTTGAGGATATTTTTTAAAGCTAGGGGCTTCTAGACTTGTTTCAGAGCTTTCATTTCTTTATTATTTTATGCCAATGGGATTGAACTCAGATATCAGAACACCCAAAGCATGTGGCTTGACTGAAAGTACTGCCCGGAAAAGGGAATTGATGTATTCTCAAGTACTGTATAGATCATCCTCTTGGCATGTGGTACTGCCTCTCAGTGCTGCACTGGAGGGCCACTGTCAGGGATTAATCTAGAGGTCTAGTCTAGCAGAGCTTCCCTAGTACAGCTCTAGACCAGTGGTTCTCAAACTTTGGGGTGTCTCAAAATCAGCTGGAGAGCTAGTAAAGATCCCTGGGGCCAGGCTCCTTGGAGGAGGATATGGCCAAGACTTTGGTGTCTTTACCAGTTTCCTCAAGGGGTTCTCAGGCTGTGTTGTGTATTAGAATCATGTGGGAAGGGTGCTTGTTAAAACATAATTGCTGTGCCAACTCAGAGTATCTGATTTAGTAGGACTGGGGTTCCTAGGTGATGCTGATGGTACTGGTTGAGAAACCACAATTTGAAAACCACTATTGTATACTTTCCTTTAGGCCTTCAGCATTGACATTGGCTTGCTAGTGTTTTCACAAATCAAATCAGACATCGTGGGATGAATTTTTTCTAGGTATTTTTAGGAAAATTATAGAAATATCAGAATGTTAGAAGACATTTTACTCTGAAGATGATGTAATAGAATATTTAATTAATTAATATTTTATAATCACTTACATACAACAGTGATTCTAATCTAGAGGGAGGGGAAGTTAGGGGGAAATGGTTGTTTTAGTATTCTATCCAACTTATTCACCTACACTCTCCTTCCTACTATGCATGTAAATCTACTTTGAGAACTTGTAATATAAAGATTTCCTTTGCTGTTCTTATTCAAATGTGTAAATTACGCTTATACATTTATGAGTCATTTTGAATTTTATGATCCATCTTACGCTGTTTTTAATCATTAACAACAGCAACCATGGTTTTATGTGGGATATAGTACTTATTTTTAGTCATTGAATATAATATAGGTGAACTTACTTTGAAAAGTATTTCAATCTGCTTGAACTGCAAAAAAAAAAAAAAAATTATCTTGATTAAAAAATGCCTATGTGATTACATATTTAGATAATTTTACAAGGCAAAGTATTGCCCAGCGAGAAGAAATCAGCATTCTTGGTGCAACCCTCAACGATCTGGCTAAGGAAAAGGAATGCCTACAAGCATGCTTGGATAAAAAATCTGAGAATATTGCATCTCTTGGAGAGAGTTTGGCAATGAAAGTATGTTCTGAGAACTGTGGTTTAAAAGAAATGTTTACACTTGAATCTGAATAAAATAAAATTCTCTCAAATGTTTTTCTAGAGAGCTGAAGCTTTAAAATCTGATTTTGAAGTATTTTAGGATAGTCTTAAGAAATATGAGTTCTTTCTCTTATCAATTTATAATTAACATGCGCTGACAGTAACTAATTCACATGTCAAAATGTGAAGCATGTGAGACTGATTTCTTTTTAAAAGCATACCAGAACTTATATTTTCAGGTAGCCACCCTGGGATGGAATATGTTTATTCCATTAAAAGTGCCTTTGTAATTGTGTTCAGAACTAGATGCACATTTTTACATCGTTCTTAGCCATTGAGACTAGACCATAGGGAGGTGGCAAATAAAGCTGAATAAAAATCTCCATCCCTCAGTTTTTGTTGTTCAAACTACATAAAAGGCCAAAAAGCCAGGGAAATATTCATACCCTTTTCTTGCTCAAAGTGATTCTGAAGGCAATTCCAAAACTGTTTTCCACAAATGTCTTAAGCAAAGGCAACATCATTGGAATAAGGCCTTGCCCCTCTCTAAGGGAACTAATGTGTTCATTTATCCATCCACCCATTCAACAAATGTTTATCGACATGTTCCAGGTATATTATGTTAGAAACAGAGGAGGAGTGGGCATGCCTTCCGAAGCCTGTAGTATAATTGGGAGAAAGATAAATAAAGGTGCTTTAAGGTAGAGTGTGCCGAGTGCCATAATGATGTCTGCACAGGGTGCAGTTGGAGTTTGGCAGGAACACCTGGGGTTGGATTAGGTGAGGAGGAAGATCTAGAAAGCTTTCCAGGAGGTGATGGGGCTTGGACGGCCCTGAAGATTGACCAGGACTTAGCCAGGAAGAGATTTGGAGAAAGGGTACAGTAAGAGAAAGGGTGATTGAGACAGGCAGAATACCTTTTGTAGAAAGGGGAATTCAGACAGGTAGAGCAACTTACATGAAAACTCAGTGGGTTTCATAAGAAAATGTCATGACATTCTTGATAGTTTAGCATGTCCAGAGAATAGATTGCAAAGAGGCAAGTGTGGGGTGGGGATAGGGAGCAAAAGATGAGACGGGATAGATAAGCAACAAATTATAAAAATATATGGAATGTTCAATTTTGACTATCATCATCAATATAGTGAATCTATGAAATAATGTAAAGGAAATATTAAAATAAGATCTTTATTTTAAAAGAAATATTCTGGTACTTGGTAATCCATGTAAAAGATGGATTATAGGGAAATGAGGATAGTGACAAGGACACGAGTCAGGAGGAGAGCAGGAAGAACTGTGTTAGGACAGGGCCTTGTCCGTGAGAGAAGTCGGTCTGTTAAGGGAGTAAGACTGACAAGAAGTGCTTTCCGCCTGAGGGACCACGTGAAGAGTTGCCATGCGTGAAGCAGGACACACGGGAAACAGAACAGGCTCGAGTGAAGACTATTGACATGGCTTTGGGACATGTTGTTGAAATAGTCATAGGCTCTTGGGATTTAGGTTTGGAGAGAAAATTGAATCGAGGTTGATAGATTTGGGAATCGTGAACCTAACTGAAACCATCAAAGTGCAGAGGTAGTAAATTTTCTTTTTCCTGTTTAAAGGCTGACTCATTACTTTGTGTATACCTTAATATTTTTGAAAATTTTATGATTTTTGGGGTTGAGTTTTGTTTCTCATATTTAAACCACATTTTGAATAGTTATCATGATTTTCCATAAAAACACTAACACTTAGAAACAAATTATTCAAATCTTTCTGAATCTCATTTTCCTTGGCTCTATCCATATTTCACATTTCATCCATTCTGCTACCAACACTATCTTTTCATTCACAAGGAATGTTGGAGTTGTAAGTCCATTTCAAATCAAGAACTTTGTATAAAATCATGAACATAAACACATCCATCCTCTGAAGGAAAAAAATGTTTCAAAGCAGTGTTAGACATTCAAAGAGGAAATGTTTTCTAATTTTAATGCTCAATTTACTAGTACCCTACAGTGAAAAGCAGTAATTTTACAGTCTGATCTGGAGATTAAAGAAATAAATTCCTATGGAAAAGTCTATACTGTAACGAATAAGGGGAAGTGTTTTTACCTTTGTGGTTAAAAATGATATCGTACTACTTACTACTGGTTAAAGTTAGAAAACTCATTAGCAAGTTCACAGATTTTTGAGTGATAAAAGCCAGAATTATTTGTGTACTATTTTAGTTTGTTTTTTCTCTAAGTGATTTATGAGCATCTTGTCCAGATTGAATTTTTAACCATTAACTTGAATCTATGTCTCTGGTTGGACAAACATATTGAGGTTGTACAGAAATATTAAATTGATAATGATGACATAGATTTTAACAGTTTGAGAAATGTGGTAGTAGGGCAATATGAAGAGAAAATAGTGCTATTAGAATGTATTATTGGATTCTACCCAATAATTTTGTTGCCCTGGATACTTTATAATGTTCTTAGATAATCGTACTTTCAAGATGAATTTCTATTGATAAAGTCCTTTTTAGGCTTATAAACCATGTTTTAGCCTAACAAAGTAATGACTTTCAGGAAAATGAGAAGTTCAATTAGCTTTTCTGAATTTAATTAGAAATGTATTAAATTATATTCAAAAGCGTGTTTAAATATTCCATTTTAAGCGTATTTTCTCTTTGAGTTTTTCCTCCATTGGCTTGTACTTCTTAAAGGGGTTTAACTGCTGTGCTAATGGACACGTTCACCATATTCCAGTGTCCGTTACTGCCAGGTGTGGAATCTGCACCATTCTACCAGAAAGCAGATTGGGAAACCAGAGCTAAAACTACCCTGGAGAGGAGCACACGAATAAAGGAACACACACACACACACACACACACACACCTCTAAACTGTCTCTTATAAACAGGAACAACTAGTTGAAACACAGGTTTAGTTTTTCATTTTGTTTTCTTGATTACTAAGGATTTCAAAATTTAAAGGGCAAAGTGAAATCTTGTTATTTAGTAAAAGAACAGGGCTAATGTTAGCCTAAGTATCTGTGAATAGTATCTGTGACTAGTTCACCATCAACAAGAATTTTCAAAGGAGGAGGTATGGTATTGGAATGAAGACAATCACACTCATTTCATCCTTGACTGACTCCATTAATCTACTCCCTCACCAGACCCTTGAAAAGTTTCTTTTATTTATTTTTTGCTCTAGGCCTAATGCTTACCTCCTTATTTAACTCATACCTAAACTTAATAATATACTTTTATAAGTCCATTTTAGTAGCTTTTGGAAGATGCTATTGATGACTAATATAAACAATGTAATTGATCAAAGTTATTATTCTTAGAACCAAATTTAGTTTTACATGATTCACTTTCCTGGGTTTATAACATGACATGAGGCAGTGAATCGGTTCTATTCCCCATGGAGAACCCCTAATGCACCGCTGGTCTGCCTCCTACTACAGAGTGCTCATGAGGTTTTTGTGCCTCTGGGTGACTGCACAAAAGTTTCACAGAGTGTTGGATACATTGATCTCATGTCAGTGCACCTAATTGTAGTCTTTACTTTAATGAGCACAATCTATTGTTTTTATCTTGTCAAAATATTCACACTGACATATTAGGCTTTAGTTTTCAAGTGTAAAAAAGATGAATAGAGCAAAATGTTTAAACCCAAGTGGAAATAAAAAAGGGTGGGGGAAATTTCTTTTTGTTCATTCAGCTTTAACAGAACTAATAGTTTAAGTTAATTTTTTTTATGTCATACTTATATTACTTTTCAAGGAAAAGACCATTTCAGGCATGAAGAATATCATTGCTGAGATGGAACAGGCATCAAGGTAAAGCATTCATTCAAGAATTAGAGTATTTATTAGGGGCAAAGTATGTTAGATACAAAGATAGTAAGAAACGGGGGGCTTAATGTTACATATAAGGTTATAATTTTCTAATGTTGGAAGGAGGCTTAAGTCTTTGTAGGGGAGTAAAAGAGTTATGTGGTGTTTGCGGGGGGCTTAATGTTACATATAAGGTTATAATTTTCTAATGTTGGAAGGAGGCTTAAGTCTTTGTAGGGGAGTAAAAGAGTTATGTGGTGTTTGCCAAGGAAAGGAACTGGCATTCAAGGTAGAAAGGATAGCAAAGAACCACAGATAATGTTCAAGAGCCTCTTGAATGACAAGCAGGTGAGTGTTGGAACCTGAAGTGTGAGAGGAGATGTGAAGGGAAGAAAGGCCAAACAAGAGGCCTGTGTGACAGACACATGAGTCTTGATTTTATCCTTCGGGAAATAAGAAATTTTGAGGAGATTTTTGCAGGAGATTATCCAGGCTGAGGAGTGGGGTTCGGGAGTGGGGGACAGGGATGGAGTGCTTATAAGGAGCACAATCTAGGAAAATGCCAGGTGTATGGTTGGGGATGAATACTGGACATGTAGAAGGTGTGGAAAAAGATGATTTCCTCTGAACTGGAAATGCCTTTGAGAACTTCTTGTAGATATGTCTTATAAGCAGTTAAATATGAGTCTGGAGTGTAAGGAAGAGGCCAAGGCTGGAGGTAATGGTTTCGGAATCATCTGGGTATAGGTGGGGTGGGGAGCCATGGATATGAATAGTATTTGTCTGAGCAAAGGTGGGTAGTAAGAAGAAATCAGGAAGCCAAGAGTTAAGCCCTCAGAACCATTACGTACTAAGGGGCAGAAGAAGAGGAACCTGCCACGGAGACTAAGCCATGGCAGCTGGAGGTAGGATGAAAGCTTTCTTCTATTTGAATGTCAGAAGTCTTGAAATACTTAGCTACTCATTGACTATTATGTATATTTAGCATCATTGTTTTTCATAGTGAAATATTGGCAACATAGAGAAACTCCAATGAACTGTTTTTGCAGTATATATTCCCATAAATTTAAATGTGTTTAAAACTTCTTCAAATGTTCTCATGCTAACTAACTGTCCATCTTCTCTCTTGTGAGAAAATTGTTATTTGATTTTGGTAAAATGTTTCTTATGTACTATTTGATTTGTGGAATAGACAGTCTACTGAAGCGCTAATTATGTGTGAACAAGACATTTCCAGAATGCGTCGGCAATTGGATGAAACAAATGATGAACTGGCTCAAATTGCCAGGGAAAGAGATATCTTGGCTCATGAGAATGACAATCTCCAAGAACAGTTTTCTAAAGCTAAACAAGAAAACCAGGTATCTTTTTCTCCAAGAAAAATATATATTTCTTGTGAGGCTCAGTTCTTTCATTTAAAATGTAGAAAAGCTCTGGCGTTGGAACCAGCCATTTCTACCTTTGTTACACAATAAGCCATATAATTTCTAAATGAAATTCTCAGACAAAAGTGTTACATATTAAGGAAGGAGAGAACAAGGGATATAATATATTCGTATTCAACCTTAGAAGTAGCCAAAGAATGAAGATAAAACTTTCAGAAACTTATAAGAAAATGGTAGATTTATTCGATGGACTATTATTCTGTTTAAGTATTAAGTGTATGAACTATGCCACATTTTCTCTTTAGCACTGTAATTCTTTATAGGAAAATTTATTTTATAATTATTTCCTCTCTAAGCCTTATCCACAGTTCTCATTTCCAATATTATAATTTTAATTGACCACTAAAAAATTTTACTTGGAAGTTTTCTTCCCCACTGAAAATTGTTCAGTCCAAATGATTTCCCCCACTTTGCTGTCACTCTCCGTATCTTTAGTTTGCATCATAAAAGTCTATTTTTTAACTGTTAAATATTTTAAATTTATATAAGTAAATATAAAGATGCAACATTTTGTTAGTTATAAAAAAAATTGCCTGAGATGTTAAAATACTGTGTTCAAAAGTTAGTGAATAATGGGATCCTGGAACAGAAAAGTGACAGGACATAAAAATGAAAGAACTCAGGGCCCTAGCCAGGTAACTCAGTTGGTTAGCGCATCGGCCTGATGTGTCAAGGTTGTGGGTTTGATTCCTGGTCAGGGCATATATAAGAATCAGCCAATGAATACATAAATAAGTGGAACAACAAATCTCTCTCTCTCTCTCTCTTTTCTCCTCATCTCCCTTCTTCCCTCCCCACTCTTCCTCCCTTTCTTCTCTCTCTCTCTCAAAATATCAATACATAGTCCTGGCCAGTGTGGCTTAGTTGGTTGGGCATTGTCCTCTACACCAAAAGGTTGCTGGTTTGATCCCCAGTCAGGGCACATGCCCAGGTTGCAGGCTCAATCCCTGATAGGGGATGTGCAGGAAACAGCCGATTGGTGTTTCGCTTTCACATCAGTGTTTCTCTCCCTCTACCTTCCTCTCTCTCTAAAAAAAAAAAAAAAAAAAAAAAATCAATAAAAAAATCTTTTTAAATTCAATAAATTAAAAAATGAAAGAAATCTAAATAAAATGGGGACTTTAAAAATGTATCAATATTGGTTCATTAATTGTGATAAGTATACTAATGTAAGATGTTAATAAAAGAGGAAACTGAATATAGGGTATATGTGGCTCTATACTACTTTCACAACTTTTCTGAAAATCAAACTATACTAAAATAAAGTTTATTTTTGAAAGTTAATGAATAGCAATAAAAACAAAGATGTGAATTTATAATTTTTTATATTCTGTAGCTAGAGCAAATAGGCTAAAGGTAAATATATCCTATATTTATGTAAAGCTAGATTAAAAACTTTCATTTTTACCACCTAGAGGTAGCCACTGTTAACATATTTTTTTAGTGATTTTCAATGTACTTAAAAAAATTTATTCTTTTACATGAACTTCTTATGTAGCTGGGATAAAACCACATACCCCTTTATATCATGGTTTTTCTACATGAGAGGGCACTAGAGTGAAACGTTTAAGACTCATGAGTCTGACTCCCCTGGCTGTGTGATAATATCACTTAACTTCTCTGAATCTCAGTTCGTCATCTGTAAAAATGGAGAGTAAACGGGAATATGCCTGAAAGCACTTGTCAGAGAGTCCAGCATAAGCACTTGGTAAATATTTTGTAGGGACATTATAACCACTTTCCTGCTTTGTTAAAATTTTGTAAACATTTTTATAATCAGAAGAAAATTGGTATCATAACAATTTTCATATGTTCGAGAGTAGTTTTTTCCTTCATTTGGGTCATAGACCCAAGGGTAGAAGATAGATTCCTCTGTGGACTGAAAATTAAGAATCCATATCACAGAAGATTTGGAAAGCAGAAACCTTAAAAAAAATTTTCACCCTCAGTACCACAATTTTTAACAAATTGGGATGAGGTATTTTTAGTGTTTTATCCTGATTTTTTTCACTATTAGATGGAAATTTTTTTTGTTACTAGTGGGAAGGAGAGTGTCAAGGGGGAAAATTGGGACATCTGTAATACTTTCAACAATAAAATAAATAAATAAAAATTACCCAAACATTTCTCATAGAGGCATAATGTTCTATGTGGTTATACCATTATGTAGTTGCTATTTACTGTATCATTCACTTAGTGTGAATAAATATTATTATAACAAATAAATGCCTTAATGAACATTCCTTTTCATTAAATTTTCTTTGATCTCATTTCGAATTGAATCAAAGCTTATGAAATGTTTATATTTTTATTTTTTTATTTTTTGTGGTACATGCCCCATGCGGAAACCGAACCCAGGACTCTCTGGTCCGCAGGCCGACGCTCAACCGCTGAGCCAAACTGGCCAGGGCAAAGCTTATGAAATTTAAAAAAACTAGATGGACGTTTTCAAATATAGTGAATATGCATGTATCCATCTCCCATCTTCAACAAAAAGAAACATAATTGATACATCACCAGATAGCAGATCATAGATTTGCTTTTTGCAAATTTACGTTTACTCCAATGATACATGGAAATGCCCATTTCTTGGCACAATAGAATAGTTTTAAATCCTTGCTAATTTTATAGGCAAAATAGTATTTCATTGTCTTAATTTGCATTTCTTTGATTGCTAGTACATTTTTAACTGTTTAAAGTATTATCCACCTGTGTTTCCTTTTTGTGAATGATCTGTTTGGACTCATATCTTTCTCACTGTTTTTATAGGAGCTTTATATATTAGGTACATTGACTTTTTATCATAATAAATATTTTAAAATTTATTTATGGTAGTTTTGACAATAGACCATTTAAAAAATTGTAGTCAAATCTATCTTTTTCTCATAGGTGCTGTCTAAACAATTAAATGATACTCATAATGAACTTAATGATATAAAACAGAAGGTCCAAGATACTAATTTGGAGGTTAACAAGCTGAAGAATATATTAAAGTCTGAAGTATGTATATATTTTTTCCCTCCTTGCTCATGATACCTAAGAGTTTTCACTAAAGTTACTGATCAGTTACCCTCAAGGGGAGAGCTGAATCAAGCCTTCCTTTAATGCATAGCATATTTTAATGTTGACAATGATAAGTTAACTATATATTTAGAACATCACCAATGTCCAGAAAGGTAACTCAGAAATAAGTCCCTTTTAGTTTGCTACTCAGCCATTCTAGATATGTAGACTCCTCCTAACTAGAGAAAGGACAGGGGGCCAGAATCCACTTGGGCTCATACATATTTGAAAATGGTAGAGATTTCAAGAACAAACCTTTGACAAAAGAGGCTCCACTTGATTGTGTAGCAGATCAGAATCGATGACTCTGTCATGGGGCCATTTGTTTCTTAGGACCAGAAGGCAGATGGCTCTTCTGCAGTTCTGTTAGTAACCATTTGACTAGGTGCATGGGTGTGACATCAGATGATTAAAGTAAATTTGGTTGCATGTGTGGTAGTCCTAGAATAAATAGAGAGCTTGACCAGTGATGTTCAATATGTCCATTTAGTAGAATATTACCTAAAATAGTATAGTTGAGCCCGGCTGATATGGCTCAGTGGTTGAACATTGACACATGCACCAAGAGGTCGCCAGTTTGATTCCTGGTCAGGGCACATGCCCAGGTTATGGGCCCCATCCCCAGTGGGGGACATGCAGGAGGCAGCCAATCGATGTTTTCTCTCATCAATGTTTCTGTCTCTCTCCTTCTCCCTTCCTTTCTCTCTCAAATCAATAATGAAAAAAAAATTTTTAATAAAATAGTTGAATTGATTAAAAAGCATAATTGGATTATAATAGGTGTAGTGTTATTTGCATACCACTGAAACCCGTTAATAGGAAACCCCCCCAAAAAAAACTATTCTTATTTTATTTCACATATTATTTAATATCAGTCCACAACATATCTTGAGCATTTATTTGTGGTGTTCATTAGATTGTTTAGGATGTTGAGAGACAGAGTCTAAGGACTCCTAAATTGCAGTCCTTGCTTTCAGGCAGTGAAAGTAGCAGACAAAGCAGGCATTTTCCTACACTTCCTGATTTTAAGATGCAGCAATGTAACATCATGAATGGACAGAAGCTCTGGAGTCAGATAGGTCTGACTCCTCCCTAATGACCTGGACTTAGGTCCAGGTTTGTATTCCCTCTGTAATTGGGAAGAACACCCAGGTAAGTCAGATAGATCTAGCACTGATCCATTTAAGTCTATTCTAGAATAGGGCAGAACATAAATAAGTGAATATCTGAGCAACATTGAATACAGTAAATTTAGAATTAGTGTTAAACAGTTCCCCTTTTCTTCCTAGCCTGTCACATTACCTGAAATTTTACCATTAAGGATAGGGGCTTTTAGATTCTGGAGTTGTGTTTTCAGACATCACACATCAAGCTTCTCTTAGCTTTTAGCATCCTAGTATGAGTTCTTTCATGAAATTTCATTTTACAACATAGCTGGATGGATCCAGGCACCCTTTGCCCCAGAGAGAACAAACCACAGATGGTCCAATAAGAACTGTTGAGTGGATTCTTCATTCACTCATTCATTCAACAAACAGTATGCTTGGTGCTGAGGTGCCAGAGATGAAAAACTGAAAGGAAGCAAAATGGGCCTGGCAGATGTGGCTCAGTGGTTGAGTGTCAACCCATACACCAAGAGGTTGCTGGTTTGATTCCCAGTCAGGGCACATTCCCAGGTTGTGGGCCTGATCTCCAGTGTGGTGTGTGCAGGAAGCGGTCAATCGATGTTCTCTCTCATCGATGTTTCTATCTCTTCCTCTCTCTAAAATCAATAAAGAAAAGTTATTGAGAGGAAGCAGAATGGCACGCAGGCAGCAGGGAGACCGTAAGCACAGGTGTTAGGGGGATACAGTAGGTCCTGCAGCTAGAGTGGAGTGTATAGGTGGGTGATAATAGATAAGAAGGATTTGTTGGAATGCTATTTTCCAGAAGCTTTTGTTACAACAGAAGCACAGAAGTTATTTGAAGAATTGCCTTTTAGAAAGACTATTCTGGAGATGTCGGGAAGATTAAATCAGAAGGGTAAGACAATCAGAAGGAGAGAGAGGCTGTATACATAATTTAATCAACAAGAGCAAAAGATTCCAGCTGAGGCCTCAAACTGTGGTGGTGGAGTGTTGTAAAGAGCCAGTGGACCACCAGAGGGAGCTGTGGAATACAGGGGTGGGATTAGCTCTAGAAAGAGGTACAGTCCTCCTCGCCACTTCATGCTTTGACTTTCCAGGCTTCACTCTATTGCGTTTTTTTCAAATATAGTATAGTATTTGAAAAAGCCGATAGAGTGAAGCCATGAAAGTGGAAGCATGAAGTGGCGAGGGATGACTGTGTATAAATAAAGAATCCTACTTCGCGGAAATTCATCCTGGTAGTCTGGAACTGATTAAGTGTGATAAAGCAGGGCTGACTGTAAAGTCATCTTGAAAGAGAATTGGGGAATACCAAGGAGCAGTTGCACTTTCTTTATGTTACTGCCTATCTTTTGCCCACACTCCTCTAACTTCTTTGGACAGATACAAAAAAGGGTAAAATATGGCTTCTTGGTTGCCACAAGGAAGGGTCCTAGAGGGCAGGAGAGACATTTTATGGCAATTCTTTTTCACCCCTTAAACTTTGAACATGTATTACTTACTCATAAAACTAAATTTAATATAAAGAATGGTTCTTATCTTTGAGGAATCCAAGGTATTATTGGGGATATTGTACATCCACACTTAATTACATAAAGCTGTAAGGCATTTTTAAGAGGATGACATACACAGTAAGTGCTACAGAAAGTTAAAAACTGTAAAGATTGATATGGGTAAAATTTAGTTTATGTATATTGTACCATGTATCTCCCAAGTACATACTGTGTATATAACTATTGTTTTTAGTACAATAATGGAAAATAGACATCAGATCCCTCCTGACACATTTGGAATATCTGAATCTTGAAAGTCAGACCAGTAGTTTGGCTTGTGAACTTGTTAACTAACACTCAGCCAAGGTCTTTCACATTAGTCAAGGTACCTTCAGGCCACAAGATGGCGATATTAACCGAGTTGTAACCAGACTTGTGCTTAATCATATTTGTGAGAATTTAAATCTGATTTGAAAGACAGATGAGATGTTGTTTCTTGCAATTTGGCCATTTTATTTAGTCCAGTGTTTCTGATAGAGAAATGAACTGTTTATTAACAGGTAAGAGAAAGAGATTTAGTGCCCCCTAAATTAATTACCAAAATTATTAATTTTTTTTTTTAGAATTAGTTGGCCAAACCATACTACTAAAATGTTTTTAAGTATAGTCTCAAAATGATGACTAAATATAGTATATTATTTGTGGAGTTGATTGTTTTCCTCTAGAAATAAGATCCAGCTTTAGTAAATCTGGCATGATAGACCTTTTAAGTTTTTAAAAATGTGATTCTATAATATATGCCCTATATATGCCGGGATGTATATTTATGAATAGTGTTTATTGGCATAGGTTTGATATTTACTTCTGAGCTATTTCAGGGAAGTTATTAGAATAGTGAACAAAAGTGGATCATAGAATAGCCCATGATGGAGAAAAATAAGGCTGGGGTTCCAAATGAAAAGCAGAAATCAGAGGGGAAATGTGCCCAGCCAAGAGAATTGTCAGAAGTTGATGCTTAAGATATGGCAGCAGTCAGAAGCTCTGTGGCCAGTACAACTCAGAAAAGTGGGCAGAAGCTCCGAAACCAGGCCAGCAACTAGTCAATTAGCAGATACATGGGAACGGGAAGCAATGAAAGATTTTGTTTGAATAAAATCAAATATAAGAACATATTCATCCAGGTCCTGGAGATAAGAGTAAGCAACTTCACTTTTCAAGATGGGTAAATGTGACTCAGGAACCAAGGCAGATCCTGGTCCCACTCCCTTTAGTTAACTACAGGATGACAGTTTCTAAACTGAGAGTGTAGATGGGATTCCTCAAGGTTATGTTACAAATGATCCCGTGGCAAGTAAATTCCAAATGACCTGGCAAATAATGTTTAATTATATGTTGAACATTTTACATCTTTTAAAGTGCTACCTAAGATTTGCTTTTCAGGAATCTGAGAATCGACAAATGATGGACCAACTCCGAAAAGCCAATGAAGATGCTGAAAACTGGGAAAATAAGGCTCGGCAAGCAGAGGCAGATAACAATACCCTCAAATTAGAACTTATCACTGCTGAGGCAGAGGGTAACCGATTAAAAGAAAAGGTAGATGCCCTCAGTAGAGAGGTCGAGCAGGTGAGTTTTGGAAATTGTGCTTGTCATATGTCCTGCATCATATTTAAGAGTTTTGTTTGGCCCTGGCCGGTTTGGCTCAGCAGTTAGAGCATCAGCCTGCGGTCCCAAGAGACCCGGGTTCGGTTCCCGCTAAGGGCATGTACCTTGGTTGCAGTTTGTCCCTGGCCCTGGTCGGTCATGCGGGTGGCAGCCACTCGATGTGATGTTTCTCTCTCTCTCTCTCTTCCTCTCTCTCTCTCTCTCTCCCTCCCATTCTACCTGAACAAAAAATGTCCTCGGGTGAGGATAAAAAAAAAAAAAAAGAGTTTTGTTTGGCTTTCCATAGATTAAATATATAAACAAACACTTAAAATGATTTAAATATACTGTGAATGTTCTCCTTCTCCTTCTACCCATTCTGGTTCCCCTCTCTGTTACTTGTACTACAACTAGAACAATCTTTAGCATTTTTAAACATTTGGAATTATTTCAAACATACCCCCAAAAAAGTACAAAAAAACAAGTAATATAAAGGACATGCTTATCCACCCCCCTCAGGTTTAAGGATGCTAACATTTAGTCATATTTGCTACAAGTATTTTCTTTATTTTATTATTATTATTATTATTATTATTATTTTATCCTCACCCAGGGACATTTTTTGATATTTTGTTCAGATAGATTGGGAGGGAGGGAGAGAGAGAAACATCGACATGAAAGGGACACATCGAGTGGTTGCCACCCACATGACCCAACCAGGGCCGGGGACAAACTGCAACCGAGGTATGCGCCCTTAGCGGGAACCAAACCCCGGTCTCTCCGGACTGCAGGCCAACGCTCTGCATGTCCTTAGGACCATTTTCAGAGACTATTTAAAGACCATTTAAGGTTGCTTTTTTCTAATTTTTACCAGCTTCACTAGGGAGTGGTTCTGTGGAGCTTGTCACGTGGCCATGCCAGAAGTGGAACTTGATCCCACACAGTTAGGTGATGTTCTCACTATGTTATGCCAAAATACTTTCAAATTACCCTTATGTTAATTTGTAGTATTGTTCAGTATTTGAAGATCTTTCTGGTTATTGATTTTTTTAGTTTTTTACATTTATTGAGACTGTGTTATAGCCCCATAGTGTCACCTTGCTGGATGTTTCATATATACTTAAAATAGAATGTGCATTCTTTTGTTGTTGAGTGAAATGTTGTATAGATGTCTAATGGGTCAAGTTCATCAGTGTTTTTCAGGTCCTATTTCTACTGAGTCTCTGTTTACTTGTTCTATCAGTTATTGAGAGAAAAGTGTTGAAATCGCCAACTATATTTGTGCATTTGTGTATTTTTTTCTTTTACTTATGTCATGTTACTTCATGTACTTAAAGCTGTATTTTTTAGATACATATAGGTTTAGGTTCTTTATTACTTCTTGATAAATTCATCTCTGAATCCATTGTAATGTGTCTTATCCTGTAGCATACTTTGTGAGATATTAATATAACCACTTCAGCCTTCTTGGGATTATTATTTGTATGTCATATCTTTTTCCAGGCTTTTGCTTTTAATCTTTACATCTTTATGATTAAAATGGTATTCTTTTAGTCCTGGCCAGTTTGGGTCAGTGGTTAGAGCGTAGGCCCATGGACTGAAGGGTTGCGGGTTTGATTCTGGTCAAGGGCACATACCTGGGTTGCAGGTTCAATCAGCCAGCTCTGGTTGGGGTCCTGCAGGAGGCAACCAATTGATGTGTCTCCCTCCCTCCTTTCCACTCTCTCTAAAAATCAATGGAAAAATATTCTCAGGTGAGAATATTTTAGACAGGTTAAATCTTGTATTTTTAAAATTCAATATTACAATATCTTTGAGTTGTAGTGTAAGGTCATTTACATTTTTAAAAAATCCTCATCCCAGGATATTTTTTCCATTGATTTTTAGAAAAAGTGGATGGGAGGGAGAGAGAGAAAGAGAGCGAGAGAGAGAGACACCTATGTAAAAAAGACACATCAATTGGGTGCCTTTCACAGGTGCCCCGACCAGGGCCAGGGATTGAACCTGCAATCCACATACATGCCCTTAACTTGGAATGGAACCTGTGATGCCTAGGTGCACAGGGTGACGCTCTAACCACTGAGCACACCTGCCAGAGCTAAGGTTCTTTATATTTAATACTGTGTAAATCTGTCATGTTGTTACTTGTTTTGTATTTGTCCCATTTATTCTTTATATGTTTATTACTCTTTTCCTGCCTTATCTCATCAGTTTTATTGAGAAATAATTGACACACATCACTGTATAAGTTTAACATGTGCAGCATGATGGTTTGATTTACAAATACTGTGAAATGATTACTACAGAGCATTCAGCTGACGTCTGTCTTCTCATACATATACAATAAAAACAAAAGAAAGGAAAAAGGACAAAATATTCTCCTTGAGATGAGTAACTCTTAGGGTTTGCTCTCTTAACTTTCCTATATATTATATAGTAGCTTTAGCTATAGTCATCCTATTGTACATTACATACCTAGTTCTTATTTTCATATACCAGGATGTTTGCACCTTTGCGCCACCTTCCTCTAATTCCCTCTCCATCACGCTCTGCCTCAGGTAATTACACTCTGTTCTCTTTTTCTGTGAGTTTTTTTTTTTTTTTTTGGGGGGGGGGTGTTTGTTTTATTTTTAGATTCCATGGATAAGTGAAATCATAAGGTATGTGTCTTTCTCTGTCTGATTTATTTCACTTAAGATAATACCTTCATGGTTCATCCATGTTGTTGGAAATTATAGGATTCCCTCATTTTAAAAAATATTTATTTTAATGTGGAGAGTATTACAGATGTCTCCCATTTTTCCCCACTTGCCCCCCTCCACTCATCTCCCACCCTACCCCAGGTCTTCACCTGTATATTGTCTGTGTCCATGGGCTATGCATATATGCATGTAAGTTCTTGTATCAACCTCTATCCGCCCTCCCTCCCACCTTCAGATCTGAGATCTGTCAGTCTGTTCTGTGCTTCCATGTCTGTGGTCCTATTTTGTTCGTCAGTTTATTTTGTTCATTGCATTCCACATATAAGTGAGATAATGTGATACTTGTCTTTCTTTGATTGGCTTATTTTATTTAACATAATGATCTCCAAGTCCATCAACGCTGTTGCAATGGGTAAAAGATCCTTCTTTTTTATAGCTGCATATTATTCCATTGTGTAAATGTACCACAGCTTTTTAACCTACTCATCTATTGATGGGAACTTGGGTTGTTTCTAGATCTTAGCTTTTGTGTTAATGCTATTATGAACATAGTGGTGTAGTCTTTCTGATTAGTATTTAGGGATTCTTAGGATATATTCCTAGAAATGGGATCACTGGGTTTAATGGCAATTCCAGTTTTAATTTTTTGAGGACACTCCAAACTGTTTTTCATAGTGGCTGCACCAGTCTGTATTCCCACCAGCAGGTTACTAGGGTTCCCTTTTATTCATATCCTCACCAGCACTTGTTATTTTTTGATTTGTTGATGATGGCCATTCTGGCAAGTGTGGGGTGATACCTCATGGTGGTTTTAATATGCATCTCTCTGATGATTAGTGATGTTGAGCATTTTTCATATGTCTATTGGCCATCTGTCCTCTTTGGAGAAGTGTCTATTCAGGTCCTTTGCCCATTTTTTATTGGATTGTTTGTCTTCTTCCTGTTGAATTGTATAAGTTCTTTATATATTTTGGAGATTAACCCCTTATCAGATGTATCAGTGTCAAATATGTTCTCCCATACCATGGGTTCCTTTTGCATTTTGATGCTTGTTTTTTTTTTTTTGATGTGCAGAAGCTTTTTAGTTTTATGTAGTCCTATTTGTTTATTTATTTTTTCTTTGTTTCTCTTACCCTAGGTGATGTATCAACAAAAATTCTTCTGTTTGAGATGTCTAAGATTTTACTGCCTATGTTTTCTTCTAGGAGTTTTATGGTTTTGCGACTTACATTTAAGTCTTTTATCCATTTTGAGTTTATTCTTGTGTATTGTATAAGTTGGTCTAGTTTCTTTCTTTTTTTTTTTAACACGTATCTGTCCAATTATTGTCTTTACTCCATGTATTCTCTTGCCTCCTTTGCCAAATAGTAATTGAGCATATTGTCTTGGGTAAATTTCTGGGTTCTCTGTTCTATTTCATTGATCTATATACCTGTTCTTGTGCCAGTATCAGGCTGTTTTGATTACAGTGGCTCTGTAGTATAGTTTGATATTGAATATTGTGAGCCCTCCAACTTTGTTATTCTTTCTCAAGATTGCTGAGCTATTCAGGGTCTTTTTTGGTTTGTATAAAGTTTTGGAATATTTGTTCCAGATCTGTAAAATATGCTGTTGGTATTTTAATAACCTATATGTTTTCAAAATTCTTTATTCATCATTGCTTCTTACATTCTATTTTTTTCTTCTAAGTTCAGTTTTCTTTCTTGAAACTTACTTTCTTTGATCTGAGTTCAGTTTTTCAGTCTTTGTCTGAAAATGGCTTTATTTTTTCCTCATTTTTGTATATAAGTTTAGCAGAATATAGAATTTGAGGTTGAGCATTTATTCCCTTGATAATGTTAAAAATAATTGTCTTCTTTTGTTGAGAAGTCTGTTCTCATTGTAACTGTCATTCTTCACAAGTCTGTCTTTTCTAATTGGTTCCTTTTAAAGTATTCTCTTTTTCTCTGTGCGCAGTCTCACTATTATATGTCAAGCTATGGATTTATTTGAGGGGGGGTGGTCTTTGGTTTTGTTGCACTTTTTCAGTTAGAGTATTCATTCCTTTTATTAAATCTTGAAAATTCTCAGATGTTATTTATTTTAATATTACTGCCTCCAAATTTACTCTGCTGTCTCCTTTAACTTTTTTTAATATGCTTTTTGGATCTTATAGCCCAAGTGTTTATTAATATTTAAAAATTTTTTTCTTTATTGATTTTAAAGAGAGAGGAAAGGAGAAGTAGGGAGAGAGAGAAACATCGATGAGAGAGAACATCGATTGGCCACCTCCTGCATGTCCCCTACTGGGGATCGAGCCCACAACCTGGGCTTGTGCCCTGACAGAGAATCGAACAGGAGACCTCTTGGTGAACAGGTCGACGCTCAACCACTGAGCCACACCTGCTGGGCAATATTAATATTTTTAATCATAGTTTCCCTATGTTTATCTCTCTGTGCTGTGATCTGTCTTCTAGTTTATTCTTTCCTCCTAAGCTGTACCTGTCTATTCTTTGATGTATTCCTTAATTTTTTTATTTTTGTGACTACTTCTTCTCTTTCTAGAAGTTCAATTGATTCTTCTTGGTATCTGTTTTGTTTTTAATTTTTCTTTAATGTCTTTAAAACTTTTAAGCATATTTTCCCATGCCTTCTAAAACATTTTGTTCAATAATTTGAAGTTCTTGAAGTCTGGTCCTGCTATGTGTTATGTTACTCTGACTCTCACTATTTGACTGTAAGTTCCTCTTAAGAAGGACTTTTTTCTCCTATAGAACCTTGTGTGGCCAGAGATATGAGTGGGCTTCTCCAGAGGGACAATTATGTTCAAGTTTAGAATTTGGGATGCGTAGTATAAAGTCTGACTTCAAAATTGAGTGAAGTCAGACCTATGTTTTCAATTTCTTACAGAAGGCTTTTTTCTCTGTGTGGAGACTAGGTCAAGTATCTCTGTGAGGTTGAGTGGATTTTTCCCTCTGGAGCTTCCTCTCAAGGGTCCCAGATTTTTTAGAGGTCTCAGTTCCAACTCTCCATCATTCCTACAGTCTTGTCTCCTGTTCTTTTTTTTTTTTTTTTCATCCTCACCCGAGGACATTTCTTGATATTTTGTTCAGATAGAGTGGGAGGGAGAGAGAGAGAGAGAAACATCGACGTGAAAGGGACACATCGAGTGGTCGCCACCCACATGACCCAATCAGGGCCAGGGACAAACTGCAACCGAGGTACGTGCCCTTAGCGGGAGCGGGAACCAAACCCAGGTCTCTCCAGACCGCAGGTCAACGCTCTAACCGCTTAGCCAAACCAGCCAGGGCTTGTCTCCTGTTCTTGCTTGAATGTTGAAAGTAAACTATTTACTGTTAGTGGCTCTTTTACCCCCAACTCTTAACTTGAGGCTGTTTATTTGCTTCCTGCTCAGGCTTTATTTTTTTTTGTTTTTGGCATGTGAGAAGTTTCCTTTCTTCTTTGAAAGTTCATCTATGAATTACAAAAATAACTTTTTGTTCTATTTTATCTTAGCTTTTAAGAGATGGTTTTCCTCTAAATCAACTATCTTAACTAGAACCTGAAACATATGGAATGATCTTTTTAAACCACAAAACTGACTGCATCACCTCTCTCTCTTTAGAACTTTCAGTGGATATAGACCTAATTTTTAACCCACTGACTAGGCTCTCTGTCTTGTAAGTTTTGTATACCTTTTCAATTGCATCCCCTATCACTCTTCCCTGTGGTCTCCATGATAGCTTTCTCTCTCTTCGTGGAGCATGTCATTTTCCCTTCCTTCACACACTCCCTCCAAAGCTTGCACTTAGCTTTCCTGACTTGAAAAGATGCTCTCCCCATCACACACTGTATATATCAACTCACCTTTCAGATCTCATTCAGCTCAACTGTCATTTATTCAGGAAAGCCTTTCCTGACTCTCTCAATTTAGGTCACTCTCCTTTTTTATACACATTTGTCTCTAGCAGTATTTGCTTAATATGTATTAATATATTCATATGGATGATTATTTGGTTGATGCACAACTCCCCTGTAGTCTGAAAGTTTCATGAGAGCAGAGACCATTTTATATTGTATATGCATCTTAAACACATTGACTGAAACATAGAATATACTGAATAAATAGAGAAGGGAAATATAGGAGGGATGGATAGATGGGTAAATAGATGGATAGATTATTTAAATAATGGGTGATAATGTGTGAGGAAGGAAGGGAGGGAGGAAGGTAGGAGTGAATTGTGACCAAATAATTTATTCCAGGAGCAATTTGTATGTGTGCGCTTTGTACTAGTAAAAGAAGCTGTAAAAGCAGAAAAGCATCTTTATTTGCCTCTCAGTTCCGTTGTCTTCACATAATAGCAAATACTACTGTGTAGGTGGCAGTGTATTTAGGACATTTTTTTTCCTGTAAAAAGGGGAGATTATCTTGAATGTTTGAAAGGGTTTATATACTTGAATCTCATATTACCATTTTTAAAACATGCTCTTATTTCTCATAATTTGGATGTATTCTTAATTTGTTCTTGCCCGGAGTCTTTTTTCCCTCAGGTATTAGTAAGTGCTGGAGTCATTAGTCCTCATTTTATGATAATATGGTCAATATCAACATGCCTTTCAATAATTAGAAAATGGATATTGTGAGTGAAATAGTGGTTAATGTTTTGTCACTTTGTTGTTAAAGACAACAATAAAATTTATATTATAGGATAATTGAAACTGTGACAAATATAGACACAACATGTATGCATCACTACCTGCTTTGAGGCTCAGACTTTTTTTTAATCCTCACTCAAGGATATTTTTTCATCCATTTTCAGATAGAGTGGGAGGGGGAGAGAGAGAGAGAGAAACATCAATGTGAGAGAGACACGCAGACTGGTTGCCTCCTGCACGACCCCGACCAGAGCTGGGGACCAAACCGCAACCCAGATATGTGCCCTGGACCGGAATCGATCCCGTGACTGGTCTACAGGCCAACGCTCTAACTGCTAAGCCAAACTGGCCAGGGTGAGGCTCAGACTTTTAAGGGGGAAAAGTTGTTTCTAAGTATGACTGGTTGACCACCTTCCTCATGGGCTTTATGTATAGAAATCTGAAACCCGAATTTATGTTTCCCAGAGTGGTTTGAACATATATTACTACCTATAGCATCTACAGTTCCTTATAATGTAACTGGACTATCGTTAAAGATTTATCCCCATTTTGTGTTCAATGACATCGTTTTTTTAACAAGTTAAAAATAATAATAATTTTGTTTTTGCAGCACTTAAATGCAGAAAGATCTTACAAGTCCCAGATCTGTACCTTACATAAATCTCTTGTGAAGATGGAAGAGGAGCTTCAGAAGGTTCAGTTTGAAAAGGTGTCTGCCCTTGCAGACTTGTCTTCCACAAGGGAACTTTGTATTAAACTTGACTCAAGCAAAGAACTTCTTAATCGGCAGCTGGTTGCTAAAGATCAAGAAATTGAAATGGTATGTAATGCTTTTAAGCATGTTTTGTTTTCCATGTTTCTATTATGTAAAAGTATGACAAGATTAGAAAAACAAGTTCTTTTTATTAATATTACATCAAGCCCTGTCTTTCATCTTTAGATTTTATTTTTTAAGTCCAAGAGATTAATTTGACAGCTGTATTCTAACAATTCAAGTAAGTAACAGAAATCTTCCTTTGAGTATCTAATTTATTTTTACTTTTGGCCAGAAGAATTGTAAAACACATTTACATACCAATCTGCAAAGAACCAAGAAGTTGAGGCTTATCCAGCTAAATTATAACTTTAATGAAATTCTTTTAAGCTAAGTTTATTTACTAATTGGGTTCTTTCAAACTGTAATTCTGCTGATTATATCTACCATGTGCCTGACATTGTGCTTGCCAATGTGAATAATATTGTGAAAGTAGGGACAGGAACGGGATCAGGGAGGAGGGTGTCAATGGGAGAAAAGGAGGGACATCTGTAACAAAACTAAATAAAAAAAAAAAATACAGGCCCCTGTCCTCAAGGACCTTTCAGTATTGACATACAAATAATTTGAGATGAATGTTATAGTAATAAGAAATACTCACAGTTTTAGAGAAGGAGTTTCTATTCAGCCTGTGGGTGTCATGGAGGAGCTCACAAGGCCATACTAATGAACACAGAAAAGATGAGGCTTTTCAGAGGGAACAACAACATAGGGAATGTATGGGGGTAAAAATGATTGCTTGAGTGAACAGTAATTTTCGATGGCCAGTGTAGCATGCATGGGTGAAAATGGCTGGAGAGATAGATGGAGTTCAGCTCCTAAAGGGATATATATACAAGTTGCATAGTGTAACTGAAGTATCAACAAATTGCAGTCATGTTTACATTTCTGTTATTATCAAATCCTATTGAAATTTTAGTTTCGTTAGTCTACTGTTTGTTAGGAGGATATGTTGCATTTGAGAATCATGTAGCTAGCTGGTTTCTGTAATAAATATACTTTATTTCTTACAGAAATATATTTTATTAATGAAGTATATGCCAGTATTGCCAGACTTTTCCTTAAATTATTTTTATTTCAGCAAGAACATTTTAATGATGAAAGTAACTCATGAATAGATACTCACTAAAAATTCAAGTAATATATCCTTAATTTTTTCTTCAAAAACACTTTATTTTTATCTTTTTTCAAATTGTAAAAGTAATGCATGTTGTAATTCATGATGTAATAACTAAAACACTTGTTATTTTTAGATTTTAAATTGGTGACATTGAACATCTTTTCATGTCTATTGGCCATTTGTATATCCTCTTTGGAAAAGTGTCATTCCAGGCCTTTTGCCCATTTTTTTAGTTGGATTGTTTATTTTTTTGGTGTTCTTCTATCAGTTCTTTATAAATTTTGGTTATTAGTCTCTTATCAGATGTATTGGCAAACATATTCATTCCTTTAGTGGGTTGGCTTTTCATTTTGTTGATGATTTCTTTTGCTGTGCAAAAACTTTTAGTTTGATGAAATCTCATTTGTTTATTTTTGTTTGTTTGTTTCCCTTGCCTGAGGAGATATATCAGAAAAAATATTGCTTTGAGAGATGCTAGAGATTTTACTGCTTATGTTTTCTTCTAGGATTTTTTTTTTATTTTGAGTCTAACATTTAAGTTTTTAATTTATTCTTGTGTATGGTGTAAGAAGGTGGTCTTATTTCATTTTTTTGCACTTATCTATCCAATAATCCCAACATCATTTATTGAATACACTATCTTTACCCCATTGTATATTTTCGCCTCTTTTGTCAAATATTAATACACTATACAGGTGGGGGTTTATTTCTGGGCTCTCTATTCTGTTCCAGTGATCTATGTGTCTGTTTTTATGCCATTATCTTGCTGTTTTGACTATATGGCTTTGTACTATAATTTGATATCAGGTAGTGTGATTCCTCAAACTTTGTTTTTCTTTCTCAGGATTGCTGTTGCCGTTTGAGGTCTTTTGTGGTTCCATATAAACTTTTGGAATATTTGTTCTATATCTGTGAAATACACTATTGGTATCTTGATTAGGAATTTCATTGATTCTATAGATTGCTTTGGGTAATATGGATATTTTAATGAAAACTCCATATGCTTATACTTATTTGTATTTTCTTCCATTTATTCAGTGTTTTATAATTTTTCAAGTACAGGTCTTTTACCTCCTTGGTTAAATTTATTGCTAGGTATTTTATTCTTTTTAAAGCAGTTGTGAATGGGATTTTTTTCTTAGTTTCCCTTTCTGATAGTTCATTATTGGTGTATAAAAATGCATCTGATTTCTGAATATATATTTTGTATCCTGCTACTCTACTGAATTCATTACTCAGTTCTAGTAGTTTTTTGGTGAAATCTTTAGTGTCCTCTATTTACATTATCATGTCATCTGCAAAGAAGGACAGTTTTTACTTTTTCCTTTTCAATTTGGATGCCTTTTTCCCTTCTTTCTTGTCTGATTGCTATTCCTAGGATTTTCAGTACCATGTTGAATAAGAGCAGTGAAAGCAGATATCCCTGTCTTGTTCCCAATCTTAAGGAAAATGCTTCTAGTTTTTGCCCATTGAGTATAATGTTGGATGTGGGTTTGTCGTATGTGGCCTTTATTATGTTGAGGTATGATCCCTCTATTCCCACTTCACTGAGAGATTTTATCATAAATGGGTGCCAGATTTTATTAAATGCTTTTTCTGCATCTATTGATATGATCATGTGGTTTTTATCCTTCTTTGGTTATGTGGTATATCACGTTTATTGATTTGCAAATATTGTAACTTTGTATCCCCAGGATAAATCCACTTGATCATAGTGTGTGATCTTTTCAGTGTATGACTGGGTCCAGTTTGCTAATATTTTGTTGAGACTTTTAACATCTCTGTTCATCGGGGATATTGGCCTACAATTTTTTTTCTTTGTAGTTTCTTTATCTTATTTTGGAATTAGGATAATGCCAGCCTAATAAAATGAGCTTGGGCGCCTTTCCTTTTCTTGAATGTTTTGGAATAGTTTGAGAAGGATGGGTGTTAGTTTTTCTTTGAATGTTTGGTAAAATTTACCTGTGAAAACTATCTAGTTCACGACTTCTGTTGGGAGTTTTATTATTATTATTATTATTATTATTATTACTGCTTTACTTTAATTAGTTGTAATCTGTCTGTTCATATTCTCTGATTTTTTCTGATTCAGTTTTAGAAGATTTTATGTTTTTAGGAGTTTATCCATTTCATCCAGATTGTCCAAATTGTTGGCATATATAATTGTATGTAATATTTTCTTACAATTTTTTTTTTATTTCTTTGGTGTCAGTTGTTACTTCTTTTATTTTGTATTTTATTTATTTGGGTCTTCTCTCTTTTCTTTTTGATGAGTCTTGTTAAAGGTTTGTCAATTTTATTTATCTTTTCAAAAAACCAGCTCTTCGTTTCATTGATACTCTTTTTCCTTTATTTCTTCTCTGATCTTTATTACTTCCTTTCCTTCCCTCACTTTGGGCTGTGTTTGTTGTTCTTTTTCAAGTTCCTTGAAGTGTAAAGTTGGTTTATTTGATATTTTTCTTGTTTCTTGAGATAGGCCTACTATGCTATGAACTTCCTTGTTAGGACTGCTTTCACTGTGTCCTATGGATTTGAGTTTGTTGTGTTCTCATTTTTATTTGTTACAAGGTATCTTTTGATTTCTCTTTTGACCTCATTGTTAATCAATTCATTGTTTAGTAATGCATTATATAGCCTCAGTGTCTTAGTGTGTTTCTCAGTATTTTTCTTGTGATTGCTTTCTAGTTTCATAGCTTTATGGTCAGAGAAGATGCTTGATATGACTTCAGTCTTCTTAAATTTATTGAGACTTGTTTTGTGTCCCAATATGTGGTCTATCCTAGAAAATGTTCTCTGTGCCTTTGAAAAGAATGTATATTCTGCTGCATTGGGGTGAAATGCTCTGAAGTTATCAATTAATTCCATCTGATCTTGTGTGTCACTTAAGGCCACTGTTTTTGTGTTGATTTTTTTATCTGAAAGATCTATCCATTGATGTTAGTGGGGTTTTAAAATCCCCTACTATAACTGTATTACCATCAATTTCTCCCTTTATTTCCATCAATATTTGTTTTACATATTTAAGTGCTCCTATGTTGGGTGTGTGTTTACAAGGGTTATATCTTCTTGTTGGATTGCTCATTTTATCATTATGTGGTATGCTCTTTGTCTCTTACTGTATCTTTTGTTTTAAAGTCTATTTTGTCAGATGTATATATTGCTTTCCCAGGTTTTTTTATTTTTTCATTTGTATAAAATATCTTTTTCCATTCCTTTACTTTTAGGCAGCGTGTCTCTTCTGTTTTAAGGTAGGTCTCTTGTAGACAGCATATGTATTGGTCTTGTTTTCTTATCCATTCAGCTACCATGTCTCTTGATTGGAGCTTTTAATCCATTTACATTTAAAGTGATTTTTGATAGGTACATATTTATTGTCATTTTATTCTTTATAACTTTGTTTTACCTCCTCCTTCTTATTCCTCCTCCTCCTCCCCTTCTTCTCCTTCATCTCCTCCTCCTCCTCCTCCTTTCTTCTCCTTCTTTCTTTCTTCTTCACCCTTTAACTTTCTTCACCCTTTAACATTTGTTTGGCGGTAACAAACTCTTTTAGCTTTTCCTTGTCTGAGAACCTCTTTATATGTCCTTCAATTTTATTTTGATCATTAATATTATTTTTATTGTTGTTGTTATTAATCCTTGCCTGAGGATATTTTTTCATTGATTTTTAGATAGAGTGGAAGGAATGGCAGGAGAGAAAGAAACATCGATGTGAGAGAGATTCATCAACTGGTTGCCTACCACATGACCCTGACAGGGACCAGGGATCAAACCTGCAACCCAGATATGTGCCCTTGACTGGGAAACGAACCCACGACCCTTCATTCCTGAGGTTGAAGCTCTAACCTGTGAGCCAAATCACCAGGGTTATCTCTTTCAATTTTAAGTG